TATTTGAGTGTTGCTTAACTTTTAAGTTTAAATAGGTTAGTTAATTAATAAGGAACTTCCAGAAGCCCAGAAAAATATTTTTCCAATTATATCCACCAGCAGAACCAAACCACAAGGCATTGCTCAGTATTGGGAAATAATGGGAATGCCAGCAGAATACTTTATTGGATATCTTGTCATTTTATATCAACCAAAATATTCTGCGTTTCTATTCTCACAAGAGTTGCTGTAGATATGCTGGTAAGTGTGTGTGTGTGTAAGTTTATAGCCTGCCCATTTATAGTATGCTCGTAGCAGGTTCTGCTCTATTGCTGTGTATGTGTGAGAGGTTGTTTTTGTTGCTGGCCTACAGTGAGCGCAATTTGGGTCGATGGTAAAATAGAAAAGCAAAAGCCCACACACACGCACACATACATACATACACACAAAAATGTGTGGCACCAACACACAAATACAAAAAGAAATATATATATATATATAAAGTTTTTCGAACAAGGGTCGTTGAAGACCAGTGCACATTTATATTTATATATAAAAATACAATACAAACACAGCTGCATAGATAAATGTGTGTACGTATGGATGTATATGTGTATTGTCTGTGCTGTTCATGTGTGTGTGTGTGTGAGTGTGTGCGGCAGCAGCTGAGTTATGTTCGCTGCTCACGACGCTTTTTCAGCTCGTGGCCGTGTCTTTTTGGTCGTTTCATGTTAATTGCTCATGGCGTTTGGCAACGCGCGGCGCTTGTTCCAGCAATCTGCGTTAATTTTAAAGGTTGATTTACAGCTGTAACTACCGTTAGTGGGGCAGTTGGGCTCACTGCTGTTGCGGCTGCAGTTCAACTGCATTTGTGTGAGCGTGCCCCTAAAAGCACACAGCACAAATTTTTATATATTGTACGTACGAGTATATGTTCTTTATGTCTCGCGGCTCCATATTTTTTATTTTTTTTTTACTGTTACTGTTGTTCTGCTGTCGCCTTTGTTTTGCTTCTTTTTTGTTTGTTCGCCAGCCACTTGGACCAGTGTTGCAGGTCGCAGCTTGCAGACAGCTGAGTTGAGTCATTAAAATGAGAAATGGCTCTAGGGTTGTCGCCTAAGTAAACACACAATGCACGGCACGGCACGGCAAGGCAAGGCAAGGCAAGGCACAGAAAGGCAAGGCACGACACGGTCAAAGTTGTTTTAATTGTTGGCCCAAAAGGAAACACAAAACCAGCCATAGAAAAGGTTGCTCGACACATGGACTTGGACATGTGCGTTTGGGGCGCTTTAATATTTGCTCTCACATAAATTACACATACGCACTGCCTGCGTGTTTGTGTGTATATGTGTGTGCGGGGGCAGCAAATATTACGTATATGCTATGGGCATTATAATGATTTATATATAATTATTTTTACAAATTGCACAAGTCATTTTATTGCCTTAACGTCCACGGCTCATGCATAGCGTTTTTCTTTATCGTATACGTGTTAACATAACATGTTTCAACATTTCTCCATCAATTGCCATCTGACATAATACCGATGTGGGTGGAACGACTAACTAACTTCTCAGTAAAATGTTTACTTATATTTATAAAACTAATAGGGCATTATATTTCTCTCTTATCAATTCATTAGCTTCTTAAACAATGAAGTTCATGGCATTGATAGCGATATAAAAGCCTTATTCATTTCTTTGCAAATTGCAATTATTTGCACTTTGAAACTTATTTTGGCAAAAAGAATTCAATAATCGATATGAAATATTATTTTAAATCAATATTAAGCAAGATATTTGTGCGCTGCTATCAATTGAAATTAGTCAAAAAGTATCCTAGGTTTTTATATACCTTATTGAGTTTATTTCTATAATTGAAATGATGCCGAGAAAGCAAAGAATCGTTTGCTGCGGAATATATAGGTATTTTTAATATACTTCAGAGACTATGAATCATAAGCTATTTAGGATAATTCGAATATCCTTCTGATAATTTGTTTCAAGTTCTTTGCAAACAAATTTCTCACATACAGTTGAAAATCTGAATTGTTTTAGTCCTCAACGCAATTAATGCAGTCCTGTCGCTTTTCTCTGCCATCTGAAATAAATTTTGAATATCTTCTTATAAAGCAAAACCCTCCATAAGGTTTTCGGCTTCATCACAATATTTATGACATTGGGATGTTTTGCCTAAAACTTTCTTTGAAAAAGTACCAACTCTTCATCAACTGTAACGTCTACATGAATATAATATAAATACTTTAGCTGTCCATTTATCCGAATTACTATCATTATTATTATTTTTGTTACATTCTTGTCACGTTTTTTCTCCCATTCCTCCTCTCAATAATATTAACATTAAATGATGTAAGTAATTACAATTTTGAAGCAAAAGCTATTAAGATAGATATCGCTCAAATAATCTGTAATTCACTCCTTCTCTTGATAAATTTTATTTTATTGTCAATTAAATCCAAAATTCTTTCGCTCGCTCTTCTCATTTTATTTTTAAAGCTTGACAGCATTTGGAAATTGAAATATCGAATTGAAATGAAATTGCCGGCTTAACCAATGTTTTCAATAAATTAAGGAACCATTGTCAATAAAAATGTTGTTGTTCACAGCACTCTCACTTATTGAAAGCACACAATAGGCAATAAAGGCAGCCATACAACTGCAGAACTTCAGAGTAAATATCGAGTGCGTGGGAAAAATGCATATTTTTCCATGAATTTTGTTGCTGCCTCTGCGCGGAAATTTTCATAAAAACACAATTTTTTCTGCGTATCTCTGGTCAATTATGTGGTTGTGTTTTCATTTTTAATTTGAATGCGAAATGAGTTTTGAAAGGCAAACCGAACAACGATTTAAATAGTATTATGACTGCGACTTCTGTGGGATTAGTGGCACTCACAACTTTTCGGGGAAACAACTAAAAGCACAATTTCGCAACGCTTTATGCATCAAAGCATGTGTTGCCGGAGGGTACTGTCGGTGGAATTGCAATTTATAATTGGACCGAAACTACTACAGCTTGTTAGAGTGAAGAGCACTACATCCCGCCGCAATATCCTTTGAGAGATTCTGGCAGATTTTTTGAGTTATGTTAAACTAAATTCATTTAAAAAGTTATTTGAAAATTGCTTTAAGAACCACAACAAAAATGAGATTCTTGTGGAAATATGTATTTTTGCTTTTGTCCTTTACCATAAAGTTAACCACAAAAGTATGCCGTGCTTAACTTTATTTCTCTTTCAAATCCACTGCCAACAACAAACAAAAACTAACATACGTCGTAATTAGATAGAGATAAATGTACGGGTATGTAGGTATGTTTAAAAAAAGTTGTTGAAAATCACTTCTAATTCCACGGGGGAGGAAGAGATGGGCTGGCAGAACACAACCACAGCAGTAGGTGGAATATTTTAACTTCCATACGATATAATTTGTAAGCGTTAACTGTAAATGAAAGGTGTTTGTTTGCCAGCACAGAGCTGTAACTAAGTAACTAATAATTAAGAGTTGTCCACAATCAAAGCGTGAAATGATTAAATTCTATTATATATTATTATTTTATGTCGAACTTTGTTCACGAATAATGAATCTTAAAATAATCTACCTACGCAAATGATGCTATTGTTTCAACAAAAATAAAAGATAAGAAATATAACATTCAGGTTTGGGGGAGACCTGTCGGGTGTCCAGCTCTCTATTCTCCCATGTCCCGCCAATCACAATAACCTAGCCTAAATGCCATAAATGGAAATGTTACAAAGCTTAAAACGTTAGGGATTATATTTTATATTTAGAATTAAGTAAAGGCTCTCAGCGCTTACTGATTAGAATAAATTTAGACTTAATACCATAACATTTCTAAGCTTTACATTTTTAAACATTCACGCAAACACTCTTGTAAATATAACTAGAGCTTTCGTCCTCGAATTGAAAAGCTGTAATTTACCTATTTTTGGATAGAGTTCATGCAATTAAGCCATTTGTCGTGGTTAAATGGGCCGAAACCAATCCGTCTTCAGTGGAATATGCCGTTCATATGGCTGCTTTGAAGCTCAAAGCCAGCCTTTACTCATTTCCCAATCAGTAAGCGACTGTAAAAAAGTTAACTAAAACCCTTAGCGTAAAGCTGGCACACAAAGGCCGATCAACTATTCGACGTTGTGCTTTATTTTTGAAATCAAAGCAATTCAATTCAGCCCAGCAAAACCGAAAATAAATTTAATCACCCATCCAGGCAGTTAACTTCCTTCCTTAAAATAAAAATAAATACATAGACACCATTGAATGGCCACAGATTCTCATATAAATAGATTTGAAAATTTGTAATGAATAATAATTGAGGTTTTTGCGGCGTCTTTTTAAAGCCATGCGAATTAAATTTCTATAATATTTCTATAATATTTACAATAAATATGAAATATATAAAAAAATATAACACATTTGTGAATGAATGAATTAAATGCTAATCTCACAAATTTTCTGCAACACTTCATGCGCACCATGGCGTATGCGCAATAATTTGCTTGATGTTATGAATTATGAAATTATTATAATTACGTATACGCAGTGTAGTTTTTCAGTTACTTAGAAAGAAATGCTAAAAATAGTTGAAAGATTTTTAGTTGTATATATAATTTGTATGCCCATAGAATAATAATTTGCCTCATGAAGGAGATTACGTATACGCAGCGTACGCCAGCACTAATTTGTTTTTTAAAAAACTTTTCAAATTCTCATTATGTGCAATTCAAAGTGTCAACGTACATGCTATATAGTTATATGGTATATGTATCAAGCATACTTTATATGCAAATATTAATTAAATTGCGCATACGCAGCGTATAACGCACACTTGAATTCAATTTGCACTTGCGCTTGCAAGACTGTGAGCGAACAAATCAGAGAGATATGGTAGTCTGATTTGAATAGAAATGCAATTATGTTGATTTGCGTACTTGTGTGAGTTACAGTTTATACATACATGCGAGTATTTTGACTTACCATTGGAACGCTGATTGGCCATATTATCCTCATCAGAGCCATGCCCCGCATTCAAATTGAGTTCCTCCTCCTCGTCCAGCATTTGCTCCTCGGATTGAAAGGGATACAGTAGTTCGGCTTCCTCGTTCGATGTTTGCGATGATATAACCTGATAAGTGGGCGGCACACCACCGCGTCCCATGTTAACCGTTACATCGTTGTTAAAGCTACCCGATTGCTGTTGTTCTTGCTGCTGTTGTTGTTGTTGCTGCTGCTGCTTGTGCTGCAGCTGCGTGGCCGATTTGGGCTTGGCGGCCAGCGTGTGGCTGGGCAGCAACAAACTGAGGCACAACACAAGCGCACAGGCAAAGGACGAGCCGCTGCATTGCCATCGCCGTCGTCGGCGTCGACGATCGAGTGCAGCAGCGTCGGCAGCAGTTGCTGTTGTTGCAGCATCTGCTGATTGTTGCTTGTTGTTGTTGTTATTTGTTGCATTTAACGTTAATAATACTAAGCGTTTTAAAATATTTACACATTCGACAATGTACGCGCACATTAGCGATAACAAAAGCGTTGCATGGTGTTCTGGTTGTGGTTGTTGTTTTTGTTGTTGTTCTTGTTCTTCTTGTTTTTGTGTAGTAGTAGCAACATAAAAATGTGTTGTTGCTGGCACTAATTGGCAACACGCTGTGGGAAATCGTAGTCGACCGCGTCGACGTCGACTATTGAAATCTATCGTAGGCAAGCGTTGTGCCTCGCTTGTGATGGTTGCTGCTGCTGTTGTTGTTGCTGTTATTTGACTGTTGTTCTTGTTATCTTCGGCTGGCAACATGTTGCCAGGCTTGCAATTAATGTTGCTAGTGCGGCTGCTGCTTCTGTCTAAGTCGGCTGCTAAGGCAACATGGCTGCCCAATCTAAGGCGCTGATCTTTAGCTTTGTTGTTCAATTGTTGTTGTACGAGTAGCTGCTGTGATTGCTGTAGTTGTTGCTGTTGCTGTTTTTCTTGTTGATGCTGTGGTTTTTGTTGCTGCGCCTGCTTGCTGCATGTTTGTTGCTGCAACATTGGACCCGAAATATTTATATATTGTGGTTGCTGTTGTTCTTGTGGCTGTTTCTTCTATTTTCTCTGGTTTTACATCTGCTTCTGCTTCTGTCACTTTTACTTTCTGCTTTCGCTCAAAACCGTTTGAAGTCGTTGTACGTTGTTGTTGAAATATTCTTAATTAAAATAACGTGGCTGTTGAATTATGCAATAAAGTTGAAACTTTTGCCTGGTAGTGTAGTGTGTGTATAGTGCTTTAGCTTTAAGTTTTTTCTTTATAATGAAATTTTACTTTTTTGCTAAAGTTGAAGACTGACGCGCTCGCTTTAATAGGCGTTTACTTTTTTATTTAATAAACTTTTTTTTTGCTATATCACACTCGGTATATAAATATATATATATATGTATAATATATCTATGCTTCACACTATTTTTTTAATTAATTTTAATTATAATATAAATAACAATTATAATATTTAATAACTTTTGCAGCACACACACAAACACACACACTTAGGCGGCCAATTTTGGCGCCGTCGCCAAATGCAAATGCATTGCACGCAATGCTTTTGTTGTTGTTGTTGTTGCTATTATCCGTACACCCGAAATTAGTCACGGTTTGGATCTGCTTGCTGTTGTTTTTGTTGCTGCTGTGCTGGTTGTTGTTGTTGTTGCTGTTGTAGTTATAGCTGCTGTGGCCATTTGTGTAAAGTATGCAAGGAAAATTTTGTGCCACCGCACAGCGCAGCGTTGTGGAAAATTTCCCTGAGAGTTGTATTTTTGTTGTGTATTTTTTTTTTGCTTTCTTTTGCTTTTGGGGGGCTGCAAGCCGGGACACGACAGGACGTTAACAAGCAGTACGACCAATTTTAGGCCGAACCACTCGCTACAGCTGCCGTCGCTGTAATGTGAAAGCCAAAGAATTTCGATTTAATTTCGTGCTCCTTCTGCCTTCCTTGTGCCTTGCCGTCGTTTTTTTTTTTCCTTTTTATGGCACTCACAACATGGCGCTGGAATGAACTTTTCTGAGTATTGGAAGTTGCGGCCTGCTGCTTGCTTTTATGGCAGAGAGAGCAGCAGCAGCGCAGCTTGTTCGTTGCTGTTGTTGTTGTTGCGCCTGCGTCGCTTTTGTTTACATTTTCGCATATAATTTGATTAAGTTGTTGGGCCTTTCGTCTAACGGCGAAACTGTAAAATAGCAGAAATGTAAGATTTAACATATCGATAGACATGGACATACTTGTACACACATACAACACAGCTTCAAATAAGCTTCAATCTAGCCCTAACTATTTCATGCAGCATTCCACTTTACTCACACATTCACTCACGCACTCGCTCTCTCTCTCTCTCCATCTCTGCCAACCAAATGCCGCTCTCAATGCAAGCGCTCTCTTTGCTCAATTATGTTCACTCAAGCCTGCACTGCCTCAACCACTCATACAGACTCAGGAAAACTGATTTTCCTAGTTTTGAGAAAATCGGCATACAATTAAAAAAAAAAAACTGTACATTTTCCATTATTAAAATATATGTATGCACTTTTCTTACATTTTGAAACAGTTGTCTGTTATTAAGTAATATTTGTCTTTCAATCAGGAATTAAGGCATTTTTTTGTTTTTATTTAAGCTCATTCACTCAGAAAATCTTTTGAACCTTATAATTTAGAAATATTTTGCTTAAATTTAGAAATTAAAGTTTTTCTTAGAACTCACACACTCAGAAAAAATGTTTTAGATTATTGACTAAAAAGCACCTCAATTTGGTAAAATGTTGTATTATTAGGAAATAATTGAAGTGTTACTTTATAATTTTGATTTTGATTTGCTTCTCTTAAGTTTAGAAATCCGAGAGATAACACATTATTCGTATATTTTTCTAGTTTTTAAGTCGAAATCGTATACTGCATTTAGAAACATTATCTAAAAAGTTTTTAATTTCATCCTTCAAACCATAAACTAATACTTGTAGATTAATAGAATATTGTATTTAAGCATTTTTTGTTTAATTTTCAAGTGGTTTTCAGTTAAATAAGAGTAGTGATTATTTTCTATGCTTTTTAGTTATTTATCGTATTATTGGAAAAAGTTTCAATGTTATGATGATGAAAAAATACATAATAAAAATGGTGTCATGATTCAAAAATATGATAATAATATAATAATAATAACAATTTAATGCTTGTTAAGTGATTCATTTTAAAAATAAACTAAAACTCGGCTTCAAAAATAAATAATAATAATTAAACTTATTATATCAGAAAATAATTTAAATTTCAAAAAATTATACTTGATATTTTGAAAAAAATCAAAAAAAAATAGTGATCATAAGATTTAAAAAAAATTTAAGCATAAAACTGACATTGAAATTGCTTTTAAAAATAGTTTACAAAGTTTCAGTTGAAACTTTAAATAACAATATAAATAAAGTTCAAAAGTAGGGCTAGTTAGTTGTCTGTAGGTGTGTTGTAAGGACGTTTTTTTTAGTGTACTCTCACGCTTGTTCATCACTTATCTCTGCCTTCTTATCGTTGTGCTTGCTCTCTCTCTCTCTCACACACTCTCTGTCCCGTATGATATGCGTTGTTATTGCCTGCTTTCGTTTTGCTTTACTATGTGCGCGTTTGTTTGCGTGTGCGTTTTACTTTCATTTAGCTTAGTAGGTAACAAAAAAACAACAACACGAACAACAACAGCAACAACACAAATAAGTAATGTTAAAGAAAAGAAAAACGCGTGTTGTCCGCCTGTCCTTCTATCCTCCTATCCTCAACGTCATCACCTCACTCACACCCTCTACTTCTGCAGCTGCTGGTGCTGCTTCTTCGCCGTCGCCTTCGTCTTCGTCTTCCTCACTCTCCCATTCTGCGGTCTGCGTGCCAAAATGCGTTACACTTTTTCTCCATTCTATGCCGTTTTTTATGTAGCTCCTTGTGGCTAGCTGGCTGTCTATGGGGTCTGACTGTGGGCTCTATGTGCGGTTATGTTCATTGTTATGCTGCCGTCGCTAGGCTTTGAGTAGCTGCTACTAATTTTACGCGACTATGTTTGCATGTTTGTCTATGTGTCTATATGTGTGTGATTGTATTAGTGTGTGATGCTACCTTTTTCCTCTTCTTTTTCTCTGCTCTACGGTATTTATAGCTTTGGGGAAAGTTTAGCGAGGAATTTGACTATGTGGCGTTGTTATTAATGATGTTTTTCTTTTTTTTTACAATATAAATATATAGCTATAGAGTATGTATGTTGCGTAACCTGGATTTCTATACATTTTTGTATTTTAACGTATTCAAATAATAGAATATTAAATTGCTTAATTATCTGGCGTAAAGTAGCAAGTAAATCGAAATATATGAATTGCTTAATTATTTTGCATAAAACAAAAAGTAAATATATACATACATATATATACGTACATATATATATATATATATATATATATATATATATATATATATATATATATATGTACAAGTATATATATATCAATTGTGGGAATTTGTCATTATACCCTCTTCATCGGTATATACTACTACTTTTCATTCTTAATCAGCTGCAAATTCATAGAAAAGTTAGTTCGCAAGGTCTGTTATATGCGAAAATTAAAGTAAATTAGTGTGAAACATAAGTTATTTGAAGGAAATATTAATTCAAATCAAATATTAACTCATTATCTTTTATCGTTTAGTTATCTTCTGGTTATTCGATATAATTTCCATATCGTTACTTTTCATTAATTGTATAATTTATTATATGTGTGGCATACTTTTGTTCACCCATGGACTTCTTATTCAATTTTTATAGCTCAATCATCTTTTTGAACAATATAGTCTTTAAAATAATTTCAGAAAGTTGTTGGCCAATATAATTAGTATACTATTGCTCGTTGCTCCTTGTAATAAATAACCACCCTGTTAAACCGCCCTAACAATAGTGTAATAAAAGTAGCCATAAAATGTTTTCAACGCTCGCAACTACCAATTAGAATTACATATTTTGGGCAATAAACTACATTTATGGGAATATTAACTCTTATTTATTTCATAGTAATATGTAGTGTTGTAAGTTGGTTGGATGCAAGCAATATTTTTGCCGCTGAATGAATTGTTAAAGGTTATGTTTTATGAGTAACGAAACATATTCTAGCGAGAGAAATACAGATTTTAACAACAGAAAAAAAAACTGTAATATTATGGATATGATATAAGTACTTAGTGTTTTATTAATGATTCTCTTGCAAAAATGGTTAGAATTGTTTATAACAAATAATTTTTAGAACTGTTCAAAATTCTTTTGCTCTGCCAACGATTAAGAAGATGTTTCCCAATTCAGTAATATTTACTATTAGTCTGTTGTAAAATGTAAAAAGTAAACTAAAGAAAAAACATAAGTTTATGTGCTTTATTTTTATAAAGCTTTAATTTTGTTTCGATTAAAAAATAGTAAATTTGTTGTTATTTATTTTATTCATTGTTATTTATTTGCTTATAAATATTTGTCATTTTCGTTTTATAATTTGTAATCAATGTATTTTATTTTGTTTACCTTTTATTTATTCATATATATTTTTATTTTAGCTTATGAATTATTTTTTTAATTATTGGACCATTTTGTCATTACTTTTTTAGCTTTTAATAAAATGTTATTAATTTATGTGATTTGTATGGATTTTTTTTATTTATTTATGGATTTAAAATGTTTTTTGCATTTATTTATTTAGCTTATGAATATTTGTATTTTAAATTAGTATATTATTTTTAATAATTTCTTTTCTAAATTTGTTTTAAAATACACTTTTTTATTTGGTTTTTTTTAATTAAATTCTATTCATATTTCGTTTCTAAATTGGTTTATAAAATTTTTTTTTTGTATTTCGTATAAATTTTTGTTAAATTTATACAATTTAAAAAATGTGGTTTGAACATAAAGCAAATTTAAATAAATAAATGCGAAATCATACTATTCTGATATAAAAACTTGTCTGGAACATAATCTTTACTTTACGTCTACTTTAACACAATAAATAATTTCATGTCTGTCCATAACTAATTGTGTTCTATAATGAAAAGTATATCTATATGTTTATAGATATATGTAGTAGTTTTATATTTCTATGAACGCAATTAGAGTACCTTGTATCTAGTATGTAAGCTTTTTATAGGCCAGGCTTTTTAAATGAATCGCTTGTTCTATGAATCATGTTTTGGGGCATGACGAGTGTGGCATTCATATGCGTGTATGTACCATTTAGCTTACCATATCTAGCCTTTACATAATAACACATAATTCACTTTGCTGTTCGCTTTTCGCTTTCTGGCTTTTTGCTTCTCATGTGACGCTTAGTTTAGCACCTAAAAGCATGCTACAGAAAAATAAAACACTTGAAATCTTTGCATGAATTCTTCCCATGGCAGACACATACACGTTCATATGAGAAGGTACTATGTATGCTTGTATGTATGTTTTAAGTGCATGCACATACATATTAAATGAGGTGTCCAGTTCTTGAATTTATTCAGATTTAAATATGAATTTATGTATCTTTTGTTGTTGCGTTCCGCACTGTTCCGCAGTAGTTGTGGTCTTCAATTTGTTTGTATTCGCATTTGGGGAACACACCCACAATAGTAGTTTGTGATGGAAAGGGCGTGCCACTTGAAAAACTAGCCACAATCTCGTTGAGTCTTTAAATTTTTGTTTGGGCCAAAGGAGAAACTTGTACAAATGAACAAAAATATAACTCAAAGCAACATTTTGACCTCTTTATGAAAAAGCCTGAAGCAGCAGAACACGAACATACACACCACACACAAACACACATACACGTATATACATACACACGCAAATGGTATTAACATTTTTGCACTCACTCGAGGCACCTCACAAAAACACACACAGACACACACACAAACACAC